TTTCCCGCCCTTCCTCATCTTACTGCCCCCTTTCCCCCCCCCCCCCCCCCTGCGCTGATTCTGTCGTTTACATTGAAAATCGCATATTTTTTTCAGAAACCAAAATAGTTTCAGCATGAACGTGGTCAACTTTAAGATTGAAACATATTGTTCGAGTCATCAGTATTTGTAGTAAAGTCCCTCACATATGAGAAGATCATCGGTCTTATATTCTACCTTATCGTTCGCAAGCTTCAATCGGATCATTTGCACTAGGGTGTGGGTGCAGTTATGGGCGCAGAGAACAGCCGTACCCACATGTACATGGAGACGCACGCCATCACTCGCAACCATGCCACACCTACGCACACACCCACACTCACATCCTTTCGGATCTTGAATGTGATGGTGATAAAGGTGTAATTCAATCTTTTAATCCTGAGCGATAGGTTGTATTTAATTAGCAGAGTGGAAGACTGTGGGAACACTCGGATGCAATATCATGTTATATTCGTATGTATGCCTCACGCTACATAGATGAATAAGTTTTCAAGATTTAATTCTTATAATTTTAAGGTATGGAGAGAGAAAAACTCACGAACTTATTTTATTAGTAAAACCGTGGTTGCGTACGCAACATAATGAAGCGATATGATTCAAAAATGCAGACGAGTACTTGAAAAGCATTTGTCCGTAATTCATTGCTCTAACTAGCACTGTGTATATGGCGGTGGTGTTGGTTGGATATTGGGATTACTGAATGATAATGAGGATTGATTGGAATGGGCCGTGGCATTTTGTCGACATGCGACAAATACTAAAGCTACTATAATCAGCAAGAGAACTACCCCTGAAGCAATAGCATAAGAATATGCATGATACGAGGATGTTGTGGGGATATTGTATGATGATTGTTGATTCGGTAGTTCAATGTGTACGCCATCGACTATCTGCGATATGGGTTTGCAATAACCCATCGAGGATCCACATACTTCAACGACTTAAAGTGAAACAAATATATATCTTTTTTTGAAGAGACTAAAAGAACATTACTATTGTGCATGCTTACGTGAACAACACCATTGTTGATCTCCTTTAGTGCAACAAGTCGCTACAAAGAGAATGGTATTTGTTTATTTTTAAGTCAAATAGACAATCAAATTTTTATGCTAACGAACCCAATGGAATGTTATTATAGTGCGGGCATGATCGACAACCGGCAGAGCCACTGATAATCGCAATGGTAAAAATAGTGGCCAGTTTCCCGAGAAAGAACTTTGTAGAAGACATAACGAGTCGCTTTTGAAAAAAAATAAGCGAAATAGAAGAAATATGTATCTATGCTTCTTATCACCAAGGCAAGTCACTGTTAATCGTTGTTCTTATCAGTTTCTTTTAGAGACCTGCGGGACAAGCTTTTCTATGTCCAAAATCTCGTTTGTCCTGTCCCGAATTTTTTTAAATAGTCCCGAATCCCGTTTGTTCCGTCCCGAATTTTTTTTCAAGTTATCCCGAAAAACTCCGTTTGTCCCGCAAAAGGAAAAATAATAAAGATATGCTTTTGTTCAATAGCAATAAATCTTTTCTATACGATCAATCGAAACAATTTATTCCTAGCTATAATTATGAGATGATTTATGAATTTCTGATAAGTATTATTGACTATACAATGTCGATCAGAAAAAACGTTCAGATACGGATAAAATTTAAAGTTTGCTATTGGTCGAGCGAAATATCCGAACTTCGAATATAAAAAAGTATTTATCTACCTTTGGCGAAATTTAGAAAAAAAAGATTAATATAAAGTACAACTATAATTTTAATACACTCTCGCTCTCATCCATACACTAATTGATCAGTGAATTGCGTTAACTAAATAAGAAGATGTGCTTAAATAGCATTAGTGGTAAAATAACTGATAAGGAGAATGATAATAGACAGATATTAAAGCATCTCGTGGCTTGTTTTTTTTGTTTTTCTGTGACACTTTTTATTTAAATACTAAAATGTTTGTGAAAAATATGAAATTTAAAGTTTACAACGGATTTCGCTATACAAACTCAAAAATTTCGGAACAACATTTTTTTCGAATTGTCCCGTCCCGCGGGACAAACGGAATTTTTCAGGATTTCGGGACTGTCCGACAGGACTCTAGTTTCTTTAGTATATTCTAAACACAACTAACAACTTTTTTCTTTCATTACGTCATTCATTATCACTGGATGATTTTTTCTTTTCTAAAGAATCTTTTCATTTAAAAGAATAAAGTTCAAAATCTGTTTTATTTCAAAGACGAGAACGTATAATACGTTAAATCATCTGATCTTTAGTTTTCGAAAACTCTATATATATGCAGAATTCAATGGCAAATATTTTGATGCCAAATTCAATAGGTTTCTGAACTAGTTTTTTGCATGCCGGGAACGATTAGTATGCCTTATTTTTTGCTAGTAAAACCAAAGTTTTTTAAGAATACATTATTTTGAATATTTATTCATGCCGCAATCTTCACTCTCCATCTCTTTAAGAACTAGAAAGGGCTAGCTGCACCAAGAACTACGATTTTGCTTTAAGATGTAATCTACGTTTGCTCTGATCAAGAAATCAAGTGCTCATAAAGATTTTCACTTCATGATGAACAATTTAGATTGAGAAAACTTCTAATTCACGAAAACCTTTGTCAAAGGTATACACATTTCCAGAAAACCAATGAGAATGGAAATATAAAATCTTTTTGGAGCATTCCATTAGAAAGTTTGCATCAGAAAAAGCTATGCGACTTTGTTCTGGTTAATAAAAGATCGATTTCATATGCAAATCCTTCTGGTATGCGAAAGTTGCACACTGCAATCGGATCATAATTAAGGCATCACTGTTTCATGAACTTTTTTTTTCTTTTCTTTTACCTATGATTCATTATATAGAAAAAAAACAGCTTTTTCTTACATTAGTTACTTCGTTGCGTAGGATACGATGCACGGGGCAAAGAAAATTTTCTATGATGCAAATTTTTCTCGCTTTTTTCATCATAGCAGGTAACTTATGTAAGTGATGATTGACTA